CAAAGGCAGAATCTGAGCACAAAATGTCATCACTATGATGAAATTCTGCTGTGGACATGGAGTGTTACGGAAACTTTCCTTTCTGACCATCCAGGAGCCGCTCTGGCAGTCACACCCTCACCACCTGAGCTGGGACCTTTGCAGCAGGTGGCTCCAGTGAGCGATGGGTACCTTGCTTGACTCCCTACACACACCAGCCTCACACAGTCAGACAAGGTTTCCTCACCGGATAGACCCCAGGTTTCCCATAGCAGAGTCTCAGATGTCTGGATCCTTAAAATAATTTAATCAGGGTACAACAAAATAACAACTTGAGCTGGATGCCTCCAAGGAGGGACCCAAACCAAGGATTCCCTGGGATCACAGTCTAAGTGTGTGAAAGTCCGTGGTCTTCCAGCTGAGTCCTTTCCTCCTGCTGTGTCTCCGTGTCTGGACACCTGGCTGGGACCACAGGTCCCCATGCCCTTTGTTAGGCAAAGGGTAAGCACCTCTTGCCTCGGGCTCCTGCAACCCAGAGCTCAACCTGCAGCTGGCACTGCAGCTGCACGCAGACCTACCTGCACTAGGTATTCCTCAACACGGAGAACAGGCTTTTCAGGCCTGCTGGGAGAGGATGTCGGACCTGGATGGGGCGTGGGCACTGTCAAACCTCATTCCGGTGTCCTCCTGAAGAAGCGCATTTATGTATTCCTCCTGATGGGAGCGGAAACTCCATCTGCTAGTGCTTCTTATCCTTCGTCCTTCATTCTTGGACTCTGTAAATAACTGTTTCCTGAAGGCTCCAAAGCTCCAAATATTAAGGCTGGTGAAAAATTGTTTTCTTTTATATAAGATCCCAAAACTTTTCATCATTTATTAAGAACAAAAACCAAGATGCTTTTTATTTTTGTAACATAAACACATAGACACATTAGCGTTTTGGGTGCTATTTCCAGATTTTGTTCTGTGCAGACTGGGAATCCTTTCCCATTCTCATCTAAACAGGTCATTTCTGTCCTGCATTATTACCTCAGTCAATCAGCTTTTCTCAGTATTGCTTAAACTTTGCAGTGGAAAAATTTTAAGTAGAATATCTCAAGCTGGAAGGGATTCATAAAGATCGCAAAGTCCAACCCCCTCCTCCTCACAGGACTACCTAAAATTAAAACATATGACTAACATTTGTTTAAATACTTTGGTTAAAGACTTGTCTCTGAGGTCTTCTGGGAGTGTCCTGATCCTTTGGCTTGGTGACAAGATGAAGATTTTTCTCTGGTAACAAACAATTACTTTAGAGACTGAAGTAAGTGAGAGAGTTCAGTCCTTGAAATAGCATCAAATATGAAGCTATTGATGCAGATCTAGCAGCTGCAAGTGCAAATAAGGGCTTTGGATGTTTAACCAAAGGAATTTATTAAAAACAGATGAGAGAATGATTTAATTATCCGACGCCTTGATTAGCTGCTGTTTGGAAACTGCTCAAGGAGCTGAACAGAGTTTAAATAGGATAGTCATGCTTTGGAAAGAGACCACAGAAGATTAATTGGAGCAGGCATGGAAGGGAAAGGGTCAGAGAGCTTCACATTTTTGGCCTCTGAGGTGGTGGAAGAAGAGGGCTTGTGGTGGTACACAAAAGCCATGCTGTGATAAATTTTGTTCATAAGGCATTCACTTTATGGAAAGGATGAAATGCAAGGTCACAAGCTAACGTGTGGAAGGAGAATACCAAGTTATGAGAAGGGATGTTTCTATCCAGAGACATGAGGCAGCCTGTGCAAATAGGGGTGCTTTAGCAATAGGATAAGTTAATGAAAGGATGACTGGGGGTGGCACAGCCTTTAGTTCTATTGACTGAAGTACAGGAGGTAGGCTAGAAACAAGGTGGAGCTTAGCTCTTTCTACCTCACAGTTTTTGTGAAGGGTTTGGCCCAGTCATTTGGCAAGTAGGCTGGCAGCTGAGTCCAGAGATGGTTCATGGCCCTTTCACTCACTCAGAAGTCAGCACAGAGGAGCTAACTGCTTCCTCTTCTGGTTCAGCTCCTTCACAAGATGAGCTGCAGTGATGTCTCTACACAGAGAAGCTGAGTGGTCTCCATATACAGGGAAGCAGAATGAAAGTCCCAATAGCACTGAAGTACTAATTGTTGCAGCACAAGCAAGATGGGAGTCAACACTGTGACGATATTTGTGCAGGGAGAAAAATAAACTGATATGACTAGGTTGTTTTGATTGGAGTATGACGTATCTGTAGGTGTTAAGGCATGGACTCAGCTGGGAATTAGACTGAAACAAATGTAATATGGATTACTTTCTTAGGAAATAAACTACTTTCCCTGTCACTTCTAGTGCTAAGGTATGCTGAGATATCACAGTCTAAATCTAACCTAGTGGTAGCTTCTATTAAAAATTATATTACAGAAAACTTGCAACACAGGAATGTTTTATCAGATTAAAAGAGAACATAACATGAAATGCAATGAATTATGCAAGTATAATGTAAGGGTAGAAAAGAGTGAAAGGATGAGCAAATTTTCATATGGCTGCCACTCCACTGTTTGTTTTGTGCAGCTGAAGAGCAGTTTGCACTTGCAGCTGGCCCTTAAAAAACAGAGACCTCAAAAAGAACAAATCTTTCGACTGCCTACAAAGGCAACTATAGTATTTCATTATTTTTTTCTAACCACAATCTATCTTCATCCCTTGCTGCCTAGCAGAGGTTATAGAGACAATTTCATTTTTCTAGCTATGTCTATACCTGTAGATAAAGCAGGGCTAGAGCATGGGTTCCAATGTTATCCTGTGATTATAATCCTGGGGGATGATTAGCGTTCTCCCTGGTAATATTTTGGCTTGGGCCAACTAGCATTCTCCCACCTATTCCTAATCACAACTCAGGCACATGCCAGCAACCCTGTATATGTTTTGACTGCAGTCTCACAGTTTAAGGGTGGAGAAGGAGTTTTGCTGTGCAGATGAGAACTGCATACTTTCACTTGGCCTCTGGTCCAGTGAATGGTCTCAGTACTGATTTATTTAGTAGCATAAAGGTTGACTATGAATGAGATTCTGTCTTCCTGAATATCCTTCTTCCTCTTGCTGTAAAGGAAGCCCTTTAGCCTGTAAGGATAAGCACCTGCCATAAACTCTTTCTCACTGTAAGTTTGCAGTGGAGGTCCTCTCTAACCCATCACTACTAGAGTGTGACCATATTTAATCCTGTTTGTATTAACAGGGATCTCCAGAAGCATAGTTCTCAGCACCTCTTGGCACAAGATGGGTGGAATGCAAAGCCCTTACAAAAGAGCCACTAAGGAAACACCACGCTGGAGAGCATCAGCAGTTGCTTTTCCTCATCCTCTGGTTCAAGCCATCACAGTATTCGGTGCCTGGATGCGAGTAGAAGAAAGGGGAACAAGAAAAGTGATCTCTGCAATGTTATTGAGTCTGTTCATGCACTGATTCCCCTCTGCCAGCCCACTGCCACCTCACACAGAGGGACAAAATCCCCAGTTACCTTTTCAGGGAAGCACTCTTAGGTTTCTGAAGACAGGAATTATTACAGTGATATAGGGAGATTTACATAGATAGTGATGTGAAAAAAAGGAGAAAAATAGTGTTAATAATCCTTGTTTAAGTTCATGCAGACAGAAATCTTGCCTTTTCTCTGTATTTTACAGGCATTGTAAAAAATACTGTATTTGACTGAGTCAGTCAAATAATAAACGCCACAATGAGTAGAGCAGGAAAATGTCAGATGGTGGTCTGGTCTCTTAAAAAAAAGAAGGAATGAAATGCCTGTCCTTCATAAGATACCTGTAAAATGGCTAAATTTTACAGGTATCATATGTTGGCTATAGAATAACCAGGCACATGAACACTATTACAACTCCAATTCCAATTCAAAGATGTAAGATATATTTTCCATAACATTTGTGTGTATTCATACACCGAGTAGTCTTTCTAGTAGCCTAGTTCTTATTGATATGTGCTAATGATGTGAACATGTGTTTCAATAGCATGAAACCTTCAAGGACCACTTCATCTATTGTGCTACAATCACAATAGTTTTGTTTCAAAATCCTAAAAGAGTATAAGAAAGTAAATCCCAGTACCCTCTGATTACCTTGACCTGCATTTCTATTGCCTACATGTTCATAGTTTAAGTGGGAGTCTAAGAGGAGGGCAACCCAGTGGCTTAGTTTAGTGGCTCTGTGCGTGTGCTACAGATAGGATTTCCATTCCTTCTGTCTGGTTTCCTGGCTTGGCAAAGGCAAGCAGTGTTGGATCTCCTGGATGAGTGGAAAAGAGAGTATCTCGACTCTCAGCAGTGATCTCTCCAGTTAATGAGATAGCCGTGCTGAAAGGAACATTATAGTGTCTACCAAAGCTGAAATGAGGGTGGCTACAGGGAAAGGACTCAAGAAAGTGTAGTAAGTGTAAACAGAATGGAGATATGGAGGTTCTTCACTGCTGCAAACAGTTTTTTCTTCATTAATAATTTTTTCTTCATTAATCATTTTTTCTTCATTAATAATGAAAAGTATTTCTCACTTTGTCTTTGCACACAGCTTTCTCTTAAAGGAAGAAAATGAGGTTTCACTGCAGGCATACTGTCTGTAACTACTTATCACATTTATGTTGTGGAAAAAGGCACAAATGCATACAGGCATTTCCCACAAGTTCTGCAGGCAGGAGGGGTTCTTTAATAGCATGGCAGTCACTTTTTCAGCCTCTATCTGCGTGTGTATGCGTGTCTGCATGTTGCAGAGAGGACACAGAGAGCGAGCTCTGCAGCTGAATTTAGAAAGTTATAGATGTTCTCATCAGCCCCATGCAATGCAGCAGAGATTCCTTCCAAAAGCCCAGGGAGCAGAGGCTGCAGACAACAGATGTGAGAGGGTTTCCCATAACTGTCAATTTTCGAAGTGTTTGCATTGAAAAGAGAGGAGGTGCTATTTTGATTGATATTTCAGCCGCGGTATATAAAGCAGAGGAATTCCTCTTACCCTCTGCTTGTCATACTGATCTGCATACTCTCTCAGCTGGACTTGGGGCTACTACTTACTGCATCTGAAAGGCTGAAACTCACTGGGAATAAAGAATTCTTGTAACAATGCCGGAACCCACCAAGAAAGATGGTAAGCATAGCAAACATTACCTGAACATTTCTTAATTACAGGAATTATGAGGACACACATGCAAAAACCATCTTTTAGACCATCTTGCATATATCAACCACAAATAATATCTAAGAACAATAGCTGGGTAACATTATACCATTAGATATCACTGATCCTTTTAGATTTAGAAATTACTTTCAGGCAGGAATATAGCACAAAATTGTTTTAGACAAGAAACAATGACTTTGAATGGTTATTGAGAAACTACTTCATTGGGCAAATGTTGTGTTTTTTTAAGGACTGCAGGATTTCCATAGTGCAACTTGTGGTTTCTCTATTCTAAGCTAACTAGACTCTGGAAAAGAGGGAATAAACATTTCTTGTGGTTTAAAAAGCCAGGACACTGACATATTTTTCATACAGCTTTCTAGTAGTTATTGAATGGAAAGGATGTATTCATGAAACAGTGCTAAGGTTCTGATGAAAATATATTCTATACATCTAATGCATAAGTGAAGAATGTAGTAAGTTCCTCTGTACAAGTTGAACTGGAATGATTCATTTTGCCACACTACAGAAATTATTTTTATGTTTCAGAAGGATAGTTAAAGGCAGTAATATTGACCCCTTTTGTGGTGCTGTTAAGTTCATAGCAAAGAAACTGAGCATATAGTCTGCTAGTGAGTTGCAGAACTGTACAGTGGAGGCTGCACAAAAAGGGGCAAAGTGGTCGGAGTCAATTAATTAATAACTTTTTGAAAGCTAGAATTTATTTTTCTACCATTTTGAAAATTTAAACTAAATAAGCTTCATCTATTTACATTACTTCTATAGCCCTTACTGTATTTTCCTTTCAAGTTTAGATGTTTTCGCAAGAATTTTTGATGATTATTTTCTAACATTGACTACATAAATAGCTTTTGCGAAGCTGTGAACGCACAAACTGTATATGCTTTGCAGATATCGGCAAATGAAAGGTATAAAGACAGGTTCTCTAATGCACTCCCAAATGCAAAACTGAATTTAATCCTTAAGGTAATCTTGTGGAAAGAATAGAACTCATTAAATAAACTTTATTTCCCATAAATTCTGAAAGAACTGCTGGGCCCATGTCTGTAGTTTAAGTACATTGGATTTAACACCGATCTACCAATCACATTTGCTTGATTTTAAATGTCTTTTTGAAATATTTTCTGGTTTTGTGAAGAGCAAAGCAACTGTCAGGAACGTTACTCAGTTTTGGTACCTTCTTTGATTGGGGATATATGAAAACTAAACTTTTTGCACGACTGAGTCTCAAGCAAGCAGTGTTGACAGACCAGTGTGATCACTTTACTTACTGGCCCTCCTTAGTGATCGAGGACAATGATAGATGAAGTATCCTTCTGAAAATAGCTACACCAAGTGCACGTATTAATACAAGAGCCTAATCCTCTGTATCAAACCTAGAGCCAAGCCCCTTCTAGAGTGTCTTATTTGTAATTCAAATTATTTACACATGTATTAAGTGTCCTTTTTATTTGATCTGTTATTTGACTGCATATTACACACTTTAATCAGAATGCATTCTGTAGCTGCCAACTCAAAAAAAAAAAATCCACTAAAATATTTATGCACTTTCAAAAGATATGTGCTTTGAAGAAAATTAGTTTGGAGGCTCATGTTTCTGGTTCTGTTTAAAATTAGATTGTTTCAAAGACGTTCTTACAATGCAGTGATTAACAATGCAACTCTGTGTTTGTGTTACAAAATAAGTTTAGCAACTCTGAACAACATTATATTGACAGTGGAATAAATGTGATTTTTGATGAGACAATATTCAGGATCTAAAAATATTGAATTATTCTCTCCTGATAGGGCTAGAATTCACAAGTAGTAATGAGCTCTGGAGAAGTAATACAATTGGGTTGTACACTGGTTGCTCCTCGTTGCACCCAGTTTGTTTGCAGCCAGTAGATCAGTGGAGAAACAGGTTTATATTATGGTACTTAAGAGATTAGTTGCTTCCTAAAGATTTTTTGTTGATCAAGAACTCACCTGAACCGGTGGCAGTACTTGTATAGTAAGTATGAGTACTTATTATATTAATGGCAGGAGGATTTGGTTCCAATAATAATACAATACCGCTGCTACTACTCATATTAGGTCTACTCATACTATGTCTACCAGTAAGAATTCAGAAGCTCACATGTTCATCAAATGCCTCTTCTCAAGGTAATTTCCAAGGTGTGAAGGGTTGAGGGCAATTAATTAATGAAGGTGAACCTTGGACTGACTAATTCTGGAAAGTACCACTGGAAGGACTGTATGAGAAACCTTTGATGAAGTTGTTGGAAGACTACAATAGAAAGCAGAGGGGAAAAAAAGAGGCTTAAGACTTCTGCATCACATGAGCACCTGAGCAGTGTTCTTCTGACATTTCCAAAAGAAGCAATCTACTTGAATTATCCCATTCCCATAGGTCCTGCCACTTAAAAACAGAATACATAAGAGCGAACAGCTGAGAGATCAGAAACTACCCAACACTCAAATGTTAAAAAAAATCTCATCTTTGCATTTTTTTTTTTATCTCTGCAGTCTCTGGAGTGCATAACTAAATTTTTCAGAGGCGGTGCTATAGCAAGCTCATAGGCTTTTTTTCAGACCAAATGATCTTTTTAGTTATTTTAAGATTATTAAAATAACAAAGTGAGAAATTTCCTGACTTGGTGAGAGTGTAGCCTCACAAAGTGCTCTTAACAAATAGGATCACCAAATTAAACACACCACTCAGCTTAGAGAAGGTTGCTGGAGAGCTTCAGCCTGGTGGAATTTGTCACTGTAGAAACAGGCTTCCATGACTAATGATTCAAGGCCTTTATGATACTCCTAAAACGTTGAGTCCTGTATATAATATCAGCTGTGGCTTCTCTGCAGTAGATGGTCATGCCGTTGTCTTAGCTGGTTTAAAATATCCTATTTGCAAGGTGAAGTTTACATCAATGGGTTAACTGATCCCAGTGGATGACTAGGATACGACTGTGATGCCAAAAACCTTTACCAGTGCATTTAAATTCAACAGTCTTTAGTTTTCCTGGTGACTAATAAAATAACCCTCCCCCATATAATTACTTCCTGTAATTTATTGCAATCACTCAGTCAATCTTTGCTCTCCCCCCTTTCCTTTAACCAATATTCATAAGAGCTGCTCATTAATTAGGTGCCCTCTTAAGCTGTCACAGGCCATGGCATTTGGATATGCTTTTGTAAAAGTGCCAAGTCTCTCAAGAGCAACCTTTTCAAACTATTTGTGGGCATCATCCCACAGTGACAGGTGCAAGTCCGTCCCCAGTAGGCAGCTCTGTAAATTTGCCTTATTTATTCTCCCCAATCTAGGAAATAACTCATGGCCATGAGTTAAGTGACCATTCCAAATTTTGAGCCAAAGCATTTATTGACTGTCTGCCAACTTTATTTTGTAAGGGTTTGCGAGGTCTGCTTGAATATTGCCTTGGAGCATCCACATATTGGCAAGGAATCAAAATTAAAAGTCAGTGTGTCTACTTTAGACAGAGTAAAAACTTTATTCGACCTATGAACAGGATACATGTAAAAGCTGTGAAGAAAACTATGTGCATATATTGTCTGTTAGAAGAACAATCTCTAAAACATGAAAAAATCTGTGAAAGGAGGTAAACAAACATACCCGTTGAGACTGCTTTGGAGATATAGTAACGTTGTTCTCTCTGTAGATACCCTGTAGAAACAAACTTTATTTCTATTGGCTTTTAAACATGACTAATTTTTTTCATTGTGTGATTTTTTTTTCTATCACCAAATTTGAATTATATTTAAAATATTTTAAGCAATACCACAGTGGTGTATCAAGATAATAGACACTGTCAAACAAATCACCTAGTCATATAAATCATACAGGTAGACGCATAAAGCAGCATTCCAGTAGGTAATCAATCTGAGCATAAATATTGGTTAAGAGCTAATTAAAGTCAGATTCCTTTTAATATTATATTTTCAGGGCTAGGCAATTTTTCAGAGGTGAAAGAGAAGTTGAATGGGAATTCTGTTTCACTACAGAGTTGGCTTGTGTCAAAATTAACAACACTGATGGAAAGTTTTCCTGAAAATTCAAGAACCCAGCATGTGAACATTTTATAACATTGTTTAGTGCTTTCCATGCAGGAGACTGGACCTGTATAATCATTTCATATGGCACCACACTGGATAGTGCAGCTGCTGCTCTCCTTGTTGCATAGTGAGGGAAAAGAAAAGCATACAGACATCCACCTTCTGCCATCATCATCTGCAGCACTGACTGTAAAATGCATTCCCGTCATTTCTAACTTCCTTCAGTCTCAGAGCCAAATCACACTCCAAGTCAGGCTCATATATATAATTTCCAAGCACCGTATTCAAGTCACAGGTAAATGAGTTTTGGTGGATGAGGGAAGGATGAAACCCTAACCCCTTAAATTATTTTCCCTCTCAATTCTTTAGAAACTTTCTGTTCATCACCTCTAGCTAATAAATTAAAATCCCTCCACAAATGGAAAGCAAACTTACGCCTAACTGTTGTAATTAGATCTATGAGGGTGGGCTGTGCTCCCGTCCTGAGCCCCACGGAGCAGCGTCCTCCTGCACAGATCGTGTTGCACGCTGGGAACTGAGTTGTTCTTAGACTGCCTTTACCCTCCCATTGCTAACTTCTAAGTGTTGCTCCCACACTTCCTTCTAAGATACCAGAGCATCTCAGATTTATTCTTTGACCTTCCGCCCCCATCGTTGCTAAGTTTCAGACTACTTTTTCAATCAAATTAATTTGATTAAAACCCCCCTACACTGGCCAAGAAAAATCCCCTTGATCAATTTTTGAGCTTTTATGTTTTGTTTGTTTCATTGTGGTGTAAATTGAAGGCACTACATTGATTTTTTTTCTTATTCAATGCATTGACTTTATTTTAATACTCGTGTAGGAGGATAATGCAAGATTGACCTGTCTTACTTAAGGTTGTTCTTACTTG